TCTTCAGGGGAGGAGGCTTGAGGGAAGGGGTGTGAAGTGGGGGAGAGGGCAGTGCTGTGGCAGGAAGAGGCCGAGCAGGGATGGAGCAGGTCCTGGACTTAGGGGAAGGGTACGGACATCCCCCCAGGGCCTCTCATGCCAGCAGCTGTGCATGGGCCGCATTGTGGAACTATTGAGGCTGCAGATGGCCTGTCAGCCATGACTCTGAGACCCTGGCTACACACGCAGCAAACTTCCCCCCCATTGTGTATTATACACACACAGCCACACACCAGAAGTGCTCATCCAACCTACTGAAATAAACACACGTGCACTCAGCTACCCTGATCCCCCCAGCTGATCTCCAGTCTCAATGCAACAAGATGACACTGGCTGAGCTCTGCCAGGTCAGCTCCTCACCGGGCTGGCCAGTGATCCCCTACTCTCCGGGCAAAGTACTCCTGCCACCCAACCCAACCCAGCAGCAGGCTGAGGGGGCTGGAGAGAAGCCAGAATCCTTGCACCAAGGGAGTGTGGTTGGTGCAAGGCCACCAGAGTGTGTGGGGCACAGAGCTTCATGAACTCAGCTCTCATTACTGGGGCAGCAGAAATGGGTTCAGGACCGGGGCCTACTGGCCTTTCTGCAGCATTATACGAGGACTTACTGCTCCTTTTACCTATCTCCATCTACTCTGCCCACCGCTCCTCCCTCCAACCTTCCTGTATCGATCCATCCAGCCCTTCCCCATACTCTCACCTCATTGTGGCCATTCCCCCAGCCATTCCTTCTGTCCATCCATCATTCTGCAGCCCCTGCATCTCCCCCATTTCCAGAGCCAGCCACACAGAGGACTCTCCTACCAAAGCCCCCAGATTCCCTTGCCGCAGATGAAAACACAAAACTGGTTCATCAGTAGATTTTCTCATTAATTAAAAAGTGACCCCAGGCTTTTAGCAGAGACTTTTCACTTCATTAAGGATTCTGGCTCCGTCGTAGGGCGCTGGGAAGGACGGCGCTCCCAGCCTGGGTGCAGGGGTCTGTCTGCATATGGAAGTGCACAAGTGGGAATGTTTGCCAGTGCCCAGACTTGTATCTGCCCTGCACCCAGGTGTGCCAAGGGCCACACACGACTGGTGTCCAATGTACAAGAGACATACAGACTCCTCTCCCCATCGGCACACACGCATCCTTGTGCTGGGGGCACAGGCGGACACGCCAAGCACAGCTGTGTATGGAGGAGTGTTTCTACGAGGGGAGGTGTGGCTGCCCCCATACAGCTCCACAGACTCTGCAGATACTGGAAGCCTGTTCAGGCACACAGGCAGCATGAGGAGGAGGGTGGCATCATCAGCTCAATCACTAACCTGCCCTTCACATAGCCCTACACGGTGCCCAGGGCCCGCACAGCACCCCCTTACCAGCTCTGCGCTCAGGAGCCAGTTGGGCTAAGAAGCCAGCTCACTGCCTGGCTAAGCATGGTCAGGGCAGGCAGGTAGCTGGGTGCCCCCCGCCCCACAAGATTGCAGCAGGGTGAACAATCCAGTTGGGACTGCAGGTACTAAATCCCACCAATCCACCAGACTCCCAGCCCAGGAATGGGGGCAGGTGCCCCCTAGTGGGGAACAGTCCCATGTCCCATTCCCCACTCCCAAGCCAGCCAGCTTTCCCCCACCTTGGGGTCAGCACGGAGCCAATGCTCCCTGAAAGGGCAGGACCGGACTCGGAGTGGCAATCACCCCAGCACAGCTAATGTGAGCAGCTGGCTGGGAGAGGAGTGGGCAGGGCTCTTGCTCCGCACAAGGTGTTGATGGGACTGGGGTACAGCAGATGGGGCAGGAGCTAATGTGTTGTGAGTTGAAGGGGGCCAAAGAGGAGACAATAACATGCTCCAATGCCAGCCTGTGGGCTGGACACCAGGCAGTTGGGCAGTGCCCCTCCTCCCAGCCTGGCTTGATGCTGGTGTGAGGGTTGATCCAGCTGCACCTGTCCAGGTCGCCTTCCCAGCCACGTGGTATACACCCCGCTGGTGGTGGTGGGGGAACAAGCATGTGCATGACACCTGGGGGAGACAGTGCCAAGGGCTTGAGTGAAGCAGTTCCTCAATGGCCCTTTCACCCTTAGGGGGTGCCAGGCGCTGGTTCTGATCCAGGCCAAGGGCTTGGAGGTCCCTGCTCTAACCACCAGACACCCCCCTCCAGAGCTGGGGAAAGAACCTCACCGTCTTAACGCCCAGCTTTCCCCCCATCCCACCAGCCCCCACTCCTCTCCCAGTGCTAGGGTGTCCTGGCTCCCCCTTCCATCGGCAAGGCCGTGTGCCCGAGTGCCGGGAGCTCTCCAGGAGCCATGTGAGATCAGACAGACAGCTCCGTGCCACCAGGTTAGGCTGTCGGCCCGCGTTAGCCTGGCGGGGCTGTGACGCTGAGGCCGACGGGAGGAGAGTGTGCTAGAGCCCCCGCAGGGGCCGACCAGTCGTTCCTGACATGCTGGGCGCTCCCCCAGCCAGCATAGCTGCTCCCCACTGCCACACAGCATTAGCTCAGGTGCCTGGGCTCGGCGCACAGCACGGGGCAATCGCAGAGACAAGGCTGCCCTTGTTACAGTGCCAACACTGACGCCCAGCTCCCTACTCCTTCCCCACCAGAGAGCTGCAGCCAGCACAGCAGGGAACAGGAGGCCTGGCTCCCAGCTGCCCCCTAGAACCCATTCCTCTCCCAGAGCTGGGTGCTGGGACACAGCATGTGCAGAGCCCAGCACAACAGGGCTGCTCCCTCAGTCAGGGCCTGCTGACGCTACTAAAGAGCACCTCAATCTCAGCCTCTGGCAGAGACAACCCCATGGCCCTGAACCAGCCAGTCCCCTGCCTTGGGGCTGATCGGCATGTGCAATCTGTACCCAGAGCCGTCCCTTCTGGTACAACACAGAGAATCATCGCTTCTCAACTCCCCCCCCACCAGATTTTAGTAAGTCCGGCACCCCTTCTCCCACCCACAGCTGTTCACACAGTAATATTAACAAGGATGAAAGCGACCAATGAGCCGCCTGCAGCCTACATGACACACACCATTGGTAATGAGTGAGAGCTGCCTGCGGGGAGGGTAAGCAACTGGCAGCGTGTCTGGCTTCTCCCTGCAGGGGGTGGTGCAGAGAGCAGGGCCGAAGTACAGCGAGGGGCCTCCTGTGTACTCCAGTGGTGCACGTGTGCGCGGGGAAGGTGTGCAGCAGGGTGTGAACGTGCATGTTTGGTTGCGGAGCATGTGGGGCAGGCAGCGGTAGAGAATGGGGCCTGGTGCAGCACTCAACATCAGGCCTGAAACAATCGATCTGGTGACGGCACAATGGTGCAGAGAGCAGGGCCGAAGTACAGCGAGGGGCCTCCTGTGTACTCCAGTGGTGCACGTGTGCGCGGGGAAGGTGTGCAGCAGGGTGTGAACGTGCATGTTTGGTTGCGGAGCATGTGGGGCAGGCAGCGGTAGAGAATGGGGCCTGGTGCAGCACTCAACATCAGGCCTGAAACAATCGATCTGGTGACGGCACAATGCAGAGATTGTATCAGAGTGCAGTGTGTCCCCTTAGCCCCCTAGGCTGATCCAGCCTGGTTCCCCCCGCCCCCCCCCGAT